TTTTCATATTTGAAATCATATTTCCCAGTATTTGACAGTTTTCTTTTCAAAATTTATTATCCACTAAATGTGAATTAAAGTGCTGATAACTATAAAAAATTAGGTATTTCCAATTTCCTATTTGAGATCAAGTTTGATGGGCATCACAGCAGGAGTTTCTCTGTGTACGCTATAAACACAGATTGATTGACGAGGCACTGAGGTTTAATTTCATCTTATCAAATCAGCGTGAGGCAAACCTATAATCCACACACTCCACAAATGCATGCACTGTTCTGCTGGATTATTTGGTACCACGCACCTGACCACGTCATCAGTATAAAAGTCTAAATGATGAAGACAAACTGCACAAAACCTGAAATTCAAAGATCCCTAGAAGGAGAGGGGCTGAGCTGAGAGTGCTACCGCTATTTATTTATTTATTTTTTAGATTTTCCACAGACATCACGATAAAATCATTGTCAGGTTTAACACAACAATGGTGACGATCCGATATGGTGACACCTTCCTCAAGACATTCATTTTTACTGACTCTGATCTCAGTCTTAGATTAGAAATGCTGGTTTTACTGAAGATGTCAGCGATAGAAAAACTGAATTAACACAGCTCGTTGAAGCATCACAGATTTCCATAAATACAAGTAAAAAAATATAGTTTCCCTGTTTGAGAGAGCTCTTTGTTTCATCTCATCAGTAAAAGCTGAAATCCAGCTGCTGCCGATTGATCGGCTTACACTTGCAGAACATAATGAAAAAAAAATCTACTTACCTTTCCTTGGATCTCAGGAGAGGCTCTTTTTGTGTTTCCTTCACCTGTCTTCAAGCAGGGTTCCAGTTTCCTTCACCTTTCTTTTTCATGCTCCCTTATTACTCCCTCGTGCTTCTTTGGGTGAGTTTCCATCAGAAACCCACCCAGATTTCCCTCTAATCCTCCCAAGTCCATCTGTTACTTTCCCTCCCCTTTGCTCCCTGCAGTGTCTTTTCCTCCACTCTCACTCTCGCCTCGCCTGCCTTCCTCATCACGCCTCCTCTCTCAGTCATGGCCTTGCTGACCTGTCCTTCTATAGATTCATTTGTATACATGGTATAGAAAGGCTTAGATTGAGACGAGAGCTGGTGTTGTGATTGTAATTCTGCTCCTTAAACTCTGACCCGTCTTAACACAAGTGAGGTGCAGCTACTGTTTATACTGAGTGATGACTGCACAAATCACTGGGCCGTGATTAGAAAATGATTTTGAGTTTGCTGGATGTTTTCTTGCTTCAGCTGCCTTTGTGGTCTGTTGAAATGAAACATCTGTTTTGTTGCTACACCTTAAAAAACGTTTTTAAGAACTTCTCCATCTGTATCCTAAGATGATGCCAAAACCTTACCAACACTCTCTAATTATCAGTCACCACCAGTCAGAAATCATGTGAGGCCCAGCTTTGGTTTTCTTATCTGGTTAGTCGTCAACATTGCATACTATTGTGAAAGTGCTTTAAATTGCTAATGTTATGAATTTGTGTTGTACACAGGGACATTAATATTTGATCCCCTGCTGTATTGAAATTCATTTGTATGGTAGTTTCATTTTAATTGAAAGAAACAGAAATCCAACAAAAGTCCAGAAGAAATTGCATCACATAAAAGTTATTGACTTAAATTTCACTGAGAAATTTAAGTGAAATTCTGGCTGGAATCCCCTGGAACCCAGCCAGAATTCTCCCAATCAATCAATCCACCATCGTGGTCAAGTCCAGAGAGCTCCCAGAGGACATCAGGAACACGACTGTAGACCTGCACAAGGCTGGGATGGACTACAAGACCATCATCAAGAAGCTTGGTGAGAAGGTGACAGGTGTAGGTGCGATTGTCCGGAAGAGGGAGAACTCTAAACGGCCATCAGTCATCCTTGGTCTGCAGCTCCATGTAAGCTCTTAAATCATGGGGTGAGGGTGATCATGAGAAGATGGTGGATCAGTACAAAACTACATGGGAGGAGCTTATTATATTATATTAAGTATCTGAAGCCAGTTGGGAGCACAGTCACCAAGAATACTGTTGTTAACACTGTGATGGATGGATCCCCCTCCTCAGGAAGGAATGTATACAGGCCATCTTAAGTTTGCCAGTGAACATCAGAGATGGTTCAGAGAAGTCTTGGGAGAAAATGCTGCCATCAGATGAAAAACAAGTTGACTTCTTTGGTATCAACTCAACGCACTGTGGTTGGAGGAAGTGAAATGCTGAGTATGAAACATTTGCTTTGGAGCTGTTTTCATGCTAAGGGTGCAGGATGACATCATGATCCAGATGGATGGGGCCCACTTCTGTTAATCTTAAGATGGGTCATCGATGACTCTTCCAGCATGACAGTGACTCAGAACACCAAGGGAACAAAGGAGTGGCTAAATAAGAAGCACATTAAGGCTGAGCGGCGTGCCTCCAGATGTCTTCTGTGGTTGCTTCTTGGTTTTGTTTCTTGCACTAAACAACACATTCCTCATCATGCATTGAAAGCCTAGGTTAGTTTAGTTTTTTCCTTTGTTTCTTACATTCAAAATAAACAGTGTTTTAATTGGCATTCATTTGGCATCTCCCTTTTTGTCATGGCTGTGGAGCCTGGTTTGTGACAGTATATCAGAGGGTCAGCTCAGATTGTGCCGTTTGGAGGCAGAGGTACAGAGGAATGGGTGAGATCAATTGGACATGTGCAGAAGAGGGATGGTGGATAAATTGGATAAAGGATGCTGAAAATGGCCATACCAGGCAGGAGGAAAAGATAAAGACCACAAAGAAGACTCATGGAAAGAAGACATGAAGAGTACTGGTGTCACATAAGAGGATGTAAGGGATAGGCAAGTTGCTGTGACAACAGAAATGGGAACGATAGAAAGAAGAAGCAAGTGACTTTACTCTCTATGACATTATCTTAACTACTCTGATGCAGTTTGACCTTTTAAAGAAAACTGTTTGTTCTCCTGTTACTTTATTGGATTCATTCTCATCTATAGCAGCTCCACTCTGTGGGCTTGTTCTCATTTCAAGGCACACAGTAACCAAACAGGTACATTTACACCCCTTTAACTAACTGCTTTTTTTAACCAACATACTATTTTTCCCTGATTCCAGATTTATTGCTTTAAGTGACATTTTCACCAGCTGCCCTGACACAGCATTAATATTTAACCTTGTTTTTTAACCAGTCCTTTAAAATGAAAGCATTGGTTTCAAGTAACTTGAACTGCTCTTCACATCTACCCCCTGGGGTAGTGAGTGGGCATCACTGACTTTGCAAGCAATATGTTCAGCAATCACACGTCTAAATGTTACCAAACACACTGAGATAGCAAATGATGTGTTGTTGGGCTATTTTAAACATGTTTCTCCTCAGCCTTCGAGCGAGGATTTTATGATTATTATCCATCCAAACTGGTTTAAAGAGGGACTCAAGTACAACAAACTTTAATAATTATAATTATGAAAATTTTGTCAGGTTGTAATTTATTTATTTAATTAATTGGGCAGGTGTTAAAGGAAAACCTGCACTTAATATGGTGACACTTTTTATTCAGAATCAGCTTACAGAGGTTTAATTAGTTCAAGGATTCGTAATGAGCAGAAAAAATTGTTCATGGTCATTATTCTGAATCTATCCCGCTGTATGAAGGTGATGGCTAGGATTATATAACTCTACTTACTGTACAAAAAAACAAAAGGCGACACAAGGTCTCAACTGACCATCGTGTCCTAAAATGACTGAAGCTGACTGTCAAATTCCCAATCTGCCCTGGTCTGTTTTTAAGACACTAAGCCCTCTATTCATGAATGGAGGGACTCAGCTCATCTGTCAATCCTATATTTTCTGCTCTTGTGCCCAATATCTGTAATGGCTTCATCTGCCCTCCACTCACCCTTGCACTTCTAAATTAATCAGGAGATTAATGAATGAGGAGTGAATGAATAATTAAAGCAGGCCTAATGCTGTGGCCAAATAAATATAGGCTAAAGATACTGTTTGAAGACAGTTACTTAACTTTGAGAATTTGTGGCTGTATGTCTGCATATTTATTCCATAAAAATCTAAGACAACTGGTTTAAACATCATAATGATAGTAATAATAACCACAAAAGAAAAAAAAAAAATCTCATATTTGCTAACGATGCGGAATTCATCAATGTGCAAATATTTATAGCTTTAAACGTTTCTTTTGCACGGGTGCTGGAAAATGTTTTGTGTAAATGTTGGTAATCATGGCCCTCTAGTGGTGACAGTGAGAAAGTCCTCAAAGACAGAAATCATGAGTGAGAAATAATTCAGGTTAAGAAAAGTGAGATTTGAGAAGTTGAGGGATCCACTGTGGACAGCCAGACCCAAAAGAGACAGAGTGACTGTATCATGAATCGCTTTATTTCTCAAATGTACTGTCACAGTTTACAACACAACTATACATTTTAATACACAGCAAAATAAATTCATTTCATACAAAATTAAATCTGAGAAATAATAGTCATGTGAAGCTAGACTGTATTCCAGTCTGTTTTTCCACCAACGTTCACATATTACCGAGTCAGTAACACAGTAAGGACTCGTACAGCCCATGAAGCACAAAGCCATGTGATCCCTTCATCAGGTTCGCCTGCTTCACTGTGGCTTTAATTTACAGTTTTCAAAACTAATAAATGATGATGATGATGAATCCTGCTACCATTTAAGCTTTCAAAGTAAAATGTAACAAGAAGAGAAAATACAACCATTTAGTCTCCTTTCAGATGTTTGTGTTGAAGTATTTGAGGAGCAAGTACACATACACATCCGCTCAAACAGCATACACATTAAACAAGTTGATATTCTTGAACTCTGTTTTTAATTTCGCCAAAACGGTATTTCAGTTTCTCCTCAGAAAGAGCCGGGAAACCAAGAAGACAATTACACAATGACTCAAAAATGTCTACAGAGCTAAACGGGAAGATGAAGCCACCGTTGGTTACCGAGCTGATTCACAAAGAAATATTTAAACAACCAATTAGATTAAAGTCAGTTAACATCACACGATCAATACCACCAGGCCAGCCTGCCTGAAATGAAAGTTACACCTGACCTTGGATCTTGTTGGATTTCATTGCTGTGTCAATAATTAACCAAGCAATAAATTAATAATTAATAAATAGATCAATAAATAGTTACTTGTGATTGCAACACTCTGATATACAGTACAGTATATTTCCAGGTTTACTTGTAAATACTTCCACTATTTACATCAGCAAAATACTGCAGACACACACACACACACACACACACACACACACACACACTTAATCCTACAGTGACGCATGTCCCAGTCAAAAATTTACAGGTCTTGTCACAACACTCAAACACACCGAAAACTCTTTAGGATTTCCACACAGACACACTGAGGTGCTCTCTGTTTGTCACACTTGTGCAGGGAAAGGAAAAAATCTAATAAATTCATTTTTAAATAAGAATTACATTGCTCTTTTTTAATAATCTGTGTATTTGTTTATATATATATATTACGCTGTACACATTGTGTTTGTATATATTTGATTCATGGGCAGCATCTTGAGTTCAGGGGAGGTTAGTGTAAGCTCAGGAATGAAAGGGTTTTTTATTAAAGCATCATTAGGTGGTTTTGCATGTTTATGCTTCTAAATATGTATAAATATATACTCACCACTTCCCATTATCAATACACCACTTTTGTCGATTGTTTCCTTCTTTCTAGAAAGACACAGATGTACGTTTACCATGTCAAATATTTAGATTGCTTCGTACATGTTAAGTACTGTCATTTCCTTCTGGCTAAATTCAACAGCACTTTGACAACCAAGCTTAGAAACATAAAAACTGCCACGTATACTATATATTTGAATTGTGAATGCCAGCTTCCACGTGGTGAGCTCTGAACAGATAATCATCCTGTGTGTTCATCACTAGGGAGTGTAGATGTGCGTCCTGTCTCCTGCTCTTCTCAGGCAGCTTGCTTGTCCAAACCAAACAAAAGCATATGATTCAGTGAGAATGTGTCATACATGGGCTCTTGTGCTCGGTGCTAATTCTCAGCCTAGTTCTGTATAAAAATGACTCACGTCTCTGGAACTCTACTGGAGGGATGAACTCCTGTCTTTTAAAGATATTGCCTCATTTGGTGTTTTGATAATGGCGGTGGAGAACACCCTCAAACATGCTGGTCTAGATTTGCCACAGCAGGTCACTGCAAAGGCCACATCACATGATTCACATCAGTTTTACCTTTTTGTGACCCCTTCTTATCTATGGAGAACAATGTCTTCCTCCAAGGCTCCACAACCATAAAGATAGAAATTTCCATTACAGGCTAAGGTGATCACTCAGAACAACTTTGCATTGGTTTGGGGGAAAGAGACACTTCAAAGTAAGGTTCAGATATTTTGCTCTAAAATTGATCCTAATGAGAATGCATACACTAAACTGTAGCACTAAACATGCAAAACTACCTTTTTGGTGATTCCAGAGATCCAAATTACATGTCAAGTTGTCAGAACAGGAATGGATTATTTTTGTTCACCATCTCATCTGACCCGCTGCCTGAGACGACTTCAGCGCCAGCCTGTGGGCCTCTAAATTGACCGTCACCTGATGGGTGATTTCCTTGAAAGACACCTGAGTGAATCATTCCAGTTCCCATTAAGATGGAGCCTGGATATCCAAACTGCACCATTCCCACTCCTCCAATGGGGGAGTTCATGTTGTGTCCTAATTGTGGACTCTCATTGATATAAATGGGATGTATCATTTGTGTTTCTGGACCTATCTGAGATGCCTGAATCATACTGATGGAAGAATTAGACATTTCCAGAGTATTCAATGATGCTGAAGGATTGTTAGCTCCAGAAGTGGGAGTTGGTGCACCATGGGGGGAAGCTATGGTCGAAATGAAAGGGTTGGAGTATGAGGGTGATGTTTCAGCAAAAGCTCCTGGTTTTAGCAAAGGGCTGGATGTCATGCCCGCTGTTTTGAAAGTGCCTGGGAAATCAAGGAGAGTGGCAGGAAGATGGAGGGTTGAGGGGGAAGGACGGAGGGAGGGAGTTAAACACAGTTTGAAGAATTCCAGTAAAGAGAAAATGTGCCAAGGCAGAGCAGAGAGAGGGGTGAGAAGGGTTATACATCTGCTGGTTAATGTACACTAGTCTTTATACAGAGTAACTTCACTAATGCTCTCTCACACACAGAACAACATCTACACACTACAGCAAGGCCACAGGGGCAGGAAGGGGAGGTAAAACACATGACCACAATAAGTTTCTCCATACAAACCTACTGATAAATATTAGCCATCACCCCTCTCATCTTATCTTTGAATGACTTCAGACGAACACAAGTGGAATGCATTTTTAAAATCAGCAGGGAGTGACTTTCATTTGTCAGGTCTTCGAGGGTGTTCATGCATCCGTTTGAGTCAAGCGCACCACAAATATTTCCACATGATGAATTTGTCAGAAAAGTTACTTTTCACCCAGACTGACGCGTCATTTTTTCTGTCCTTACCGATGGCTTGTGTTTGGGTGTCAATGAGAGGGCGCTGTCTGGGTTTAGGGTCAGATGAAAACAGATCGTCCAAGTCAACCAGTGATGCCTCTGCTGAGCCCAAGAAGGAAGCAGTCTTTCGATACATCGCGTCTTCCTGCTTCGAGTGCTTTCCTGCAATAAAATAAAGGTCCAGTTCTACTCTAAAAGGTGTTTTCTTTTGGGGACAGGTCAGGGAAGAAGAGAGAGCAAAGTGGAAGAGAAGGTTAATAGATTAAGACTGTTAGGTGACTGCTGACTGACGGGGAAATGAGGATGAAAACAAGGAAAATGGTGACAAGTGCAAATCACCATGTATGGACACAATAATGAAGGTTTAACGAGTCCCCACTTTCAGGATATTAATTAAAGACAAGCCAAACATTTAGTCAATTAAATCAGAGCAGAGTGTGTTATAGGTGATTATACACACACAATCAGTGTTTGCTCATGGGAATAATGGATAAATGACACAAACATGTATTCAGACAGTGTGTAGAATGTGATGTACCTGTGCCATTGCCACTTGTGTTGCTTGATGCACCCCAGGGGTCATTGGATTTAGATGCTCCATCTCCAAAGGGGTCACTAGATGGGGAGGAGTCTAAAGGTGGAGCAGGTGCACCCCATGCATCGTCTGTACTGGCAGGAGCCAAAGCTAGATGAGTAAATTAAACAGACAGGTTCAGGTGATGGAAAAATAAATGACAGAATTAACTCCTCTGGTGAAGAAAGAGGAGTAGAACAGGCCAAAAAGCCGGAATAAACAAAGACATAAAGGTGCCACATGTGATGTAAGTACAGAAATTCAGTCACAGGTCTTTCTACAACTAATAAAAATCAGTTTCCAAAATCAGTTTTCATTCATGACTGTGTAGCCACATCAGACACCACCTCCATTGTCAAGTTTGCTGACGACACTGCTGTTGTGGGCCTGATCTCCGACAACATCGAGACGGCCTACCTGGAGGAGATTAGGAACCTGGAGACCTGGTGCCAGGAGAATAACCTCCTCCTAAACATCAGCAAGACTAAGGAGCTGATCGTGGACTTCACTACAAAGCAGGCGAGGAATTACAAACCCCTCATCATCAGTGGCACCACGCCAGTGGAGAGAGTGGACAGTTTCCGATACCTGGGTGTCCACATCACTCAGGACCTGTCATGGTCCTGTCACATCAACACCCTGGTTAAGAAAGCCCGTCAGCGTCGCTTCTTCCTCAGAAGACTTAGAGACTTCCATCTGCCACTGAAGGTGCTCAAGAACTTCTACTCCCGCACCATCGAGAGCGTCCTGACGGCAAACATCTGCACCTGGTTTGGGAACAGCACCAAGCAGGACAGACGAGATCTGCAAAGGGTGGTGCGCTCGGCAGAACGCATCATTCAATCACAGCTCCCTGACCTGCTGTCCATCTACACCAAGCGGTGCAAGTCCAAAGCTAGGAAGATTATGATGGATCTCTCCCATCCCAACAATGGACTCTTCTCACTGTTGAGGTCTGGGAAGCGCTGGGAAGCGCTTCCGCTCCCTTCTTCCCCCCAGGCTATTCGGGGCCTGTACCAGGTGTAGGACTGGACTCTCCCAAACACGTCACTATAAGACTGGACTCTCACACACGTCACCACACGCACCACCACACATTTCCTATAATCCTATAATTCCTATAATTTATAATCCTTATCTTTATAATCTCTTCTGCTATTTGCACATTCTTTACTGTAAATTCCCAAGTTAATTTGTAAATTTTTGTAGTAAAGTGTAAATTGTAAATATTGTAAAACTTTTCTTCTGTCATTTAATGGTCGGGCATTGTACAGCTACAAGCATTTCACCCCCATGTCATACTGTGTATGGTTGTGTGTGTGACAAATAAAATTTGAATTTGAATTTGATATGCCTTTTTGTGAATGTGTGCACTTTAAAGTGCCATGTAAAACTCCACAGTGGAAATGAAAGGCATATACACCTACTTACAATGCATTCTCAGTGCAAGGAGTGGTGAGCACAGCAGCCCCACCCACCTTCTGTTGATAAGGGTCAGCCAATGAAAAAAAGTTGGCATCTTTTTTTCAGATAAGTATAACAGTCATTTTGAACTATGACTAATTCAAACCAGTTAGAAGTTAGCAAAATTCTTCAGCTTTACGTTCTGAGAAGTACTATCCATATACAAGTATTTATTTGTTTGTTTCTTACCTGAAGGCCCCCATGGGTCATTGTCTGCTTTGGATGCATCTCCAAATGGATCAGAATTACTGGTAGGTGAAGAAGCACCTGCCGTGGTCCCCCAGGGATCTGACCCGGTGGCTGGTGGAGAAGTGGCTGGGGCTCCCCATGCAGCTGTGCTACTCTGAGGCGAGCTCACTAGAGGGGCATCGAAGGGATCTGTGGCATCTATCTTTGGTGGACTGGATGGTGCTGTGAATGGGTCTTCTTTAGGTGGTGTTGTTGGTGCAGCAAAGGGATCTTCCTTGGTCGGTTTAGAGGTTGTGGAGAAGGGATCCTCTTGAGGTGGAGATGTTGGGGCAGCGAAGGGGTCATCTTTTGCATGTAAAGATGGTGTAGAGAACAGATCCTCTTTGGGTGGTGTTGTTGGTGCAGCAAAGGGATCTTGAACAGGTTTGGTTGGCACTGAGAAAGGATCTTCTTTAGGTGGTGTTGTGGGAGCAGTGAAAGGGTCCTCTTTCCCTGATGACGGTTCTGCAAATGGGTCCTCTTTAGGGGGTGTTAATGCTTTTGCACTGAAGGGATCATCTTTTGGAGAGCTAAATGGATCGTCTTTAGGTGCATTAAATGGATCGTCTTTAGGTGCATTAAATGGATCGTCTTTAGGTGCATTGAATGGATCATCTTTTGGGGCAATGAAAGGATCTTCTTTAGGGGCACTAAAAGGATCATCTTTTGGGGCGATAAATGGGTCATCTTTTGGAGCTTTGAAAGGATCATCCTTTGGAACATTAAACGGATCATTGTTAGAAGAGCTGAAAGGGTCTGGTTCATCTTTCTGAGCAGCAAATGGATCCTCCGTGTCTTTGGGGGCACTGAAAGGGTCTGAACTGTCCTTTGGGGTGTTGAAAGGGTCATCTTTTGATGCACTAAAGGGATCTTCCCCATTTTTCGGTGCCGCAAA